CTGACAAGCAGTTCCTGAGTCGTAAGCGCAGCCATCATGCAACCTGGAATACTCTAAACAACCGCTAAGCTGTCCCTTCTGTCCTAGCTGTTACTCACTAACTGCAAAAAGCTCAAACCAAGTCATTCCTAACAGCTGTCCGAGGAAATGTCAAATCGAACTGTCAACCGGAACCGACCCAGTAAAACAAACAACCAAATCTAAAAAGAAAGGAGGGCAATTTACAGCATCGAATCAGTCCAATAACTACAGTGTAATTTACTAAAACTATCTTAGACCACTAAGTTAAATCAACTTAACAGTACCTCTAACCACAAAATCAAATCAATCACGGAACTGTAAAAATTTGTATAATCAATGATCAATGCCAAAGACTATAATTACAATTGAACAGAGGAAAAAGAGAAAAAATTAACTGTATTTCAAATCAAATCAATCTTAATTCAAAAGTCTAAAAATTAAACTTTAATCAAATTAATCTTGATGGCTAAAAAATTAATCGATCCAAATTATTAATCAAAGTTATGATGATACAGTCAAACTGCCGGCAATATTAATCAGGAAGTTGAGCAGAAGCACTCCCCCATGAATGCCGCCAGAGATTATACTGCAATATAAACAATGATCCACCCCCAACCCAGAGACAATGCAATGACGGTCAACCTGGTTTCAGGTAAACATTGGAGATCGAAATCAAACAATTCATAACAGCTTCTCAAAAGCACCACATCAAAATTAAGTCAACCTCCAATTCCAATCCAAAATCAAATGCAGAACTATAGTACAAACCAAATTCAACGTAACACTACAGCACTTTAATGTTTAAAATACACGTCAACACCAATTCAGATATCAGTCAAGTTGTCTTATCAATCTTTACACTATCCTAGTAAGTAAAGGCAAGTGTGCATCAATGTCAACATCCGAACACGGCAAGTGAAGAAATTGAACTCCCCCCTCTTGTAATTCCCTTTACATCCACCAGAGGGCACACTCACGGGCTTCCCCCTCACGATGTGCACTTACTCCAACCACATGAGGCGCTGTTCAGCCGATAGCTGAAGATCGAACACAGAACTACCAAAGAGGAAGTACCTCACACCTCAGCACATGGATCGTAAAAGGGCGTGGCAGAGAACAATGGGATCAAGCTAACTGTTAACCCACGATGTGGTCAAGCTATCAGCACCCCGCAAGCCCCGCTATATCCCCAGTGGAATTACCAATGAGACACCCGTTAGCTGCTAGCAATGCAGCCTCATACGATTTAGGTTAGACTGTTTACCAATACCTTAATATGCTACGGTTTTATAACCTGACGCCGGAGATGATCAGTCTCCAGTTTGGATTCTATATATACACATATAAAATGTTAAGCAATCACATGCACACAGCTATTCATAATCCGGAACCTCTATTCATCAATCAAGCGCATGCACCACGTTGCTCAAACACTCACACAAGCATGCAAATATATATACACTATCATTTATACCAAAGCACTTATCTGCCACCCACCCTCTATTAAATATCCTATCTACCTAATTTAATAGGATTTCTAGAGAGTGGAAAATGTTAAGCAGAAACCAATCCAGACACCACTGGATTTTCCCCGTAACCCAATCCTGTAGAGCAAGCCCCCCCCCCCCCAATCTATTAAAATCCCACAATACCTAATTGTGAAGCACTTCCTGGGAGCTACGCGGGTGTCGTCACACGTCACGGAAACACCCTCTCACACATGATATGTACAACGGAGGGATAAGCAAGACTACTGGCCTCTCTTATGAAATAAGACTACTCGCCTCAAAACAAGACTACTGGCATAAACTCAAGGCAAGACTGCGGGCCGTTAACCTCTTCTTATCCTCCAGACTTCAGGCCTCCAAAGCTTTGAGCTTCCTTTCCAAGGCTTCGGGCCTCTTAGACTTCAGACTTCTCTTTGACCGAAATGTACGTGTGGAGCAGGTCCTCAGGCTTGTCCAATTCACGTACAGACCCGTAATTATTGTGAGAAGCCTACAGGACAACATGCGTGTGTCATTACACCTCATGCGCACCCCATAGCCAATCCCATACGGGTCTATTTGTATAAATTTATCCTGCTGGTCTTTACGTCTCATCAGACCAGTTCGCCGACTGGATTTTCTAACGCTCAAAGTGTGTACCAGAACGTACCAAATACGCCGAATCGAAATTTTGAAAAGTATTTAATAACTAAACAACGTTATAAGGAATACAATTACAAAGTGAAATACAAAACGAATAGTAAAATATTTCGCGAAATAGAGAATTCTCAGAGCAAGTCTAAAGCGACTTATCAAAGCGGCTGCAGGAAAATTCTAACAGTCTTTTCCCCGCTTTGGTCCTTTGAAAACTCTTGAGGTGTGTCTTCCTTGGTGCATTTGAATGTCATTGGCTTCTTCTTCAAAGTGTCACCTCCAGGACTGTCCCCTTCACGTCGAGGTGTGAAGCTGCAACTGTAACCTGAACCTCTGTGTCCATCTGTCCCTCACATTCCAATGCATTCAATGTAGATATGTTTAGCTTTATGCCTCAATGAGTGAATATAACAAAGTATACATAGTTTGTCTTCATCTTTTAACTAGTACACTTTAATTACAACACATCATTAATGATCACCGTTCATCACACTTCATCATAAGATCTAAAACAGTTCATGTGGTTCAATTCTCAAGACATTTGCCTCAGTCGGCTGCCTCACATTAAGATCTTCATTTACTACCTGACAGGAGAAAAAACTCCCAAAAACCCTCTTTGGGGATAAAATTGGATGAAATCCATAAAGGACGGCAATTAGCATCCGTCCCCAGGTTTTAACATCACATTGTGACAGAATGTTAATATGTACAGTGTTTATATGATTTAAATGACTATGAATTGTGTTTGATTGAAATTGCATTCACTTCATCTAACATGTTAATGTAATAACTAATATCTAACATCACACAAACTATAATTCTAACACTTAACATTATTACACATACTATAATTTCCTGACTAGGGGTGCACTTCTGGCTTAAATCCCTAACACCGGTCAAACAACAACATCTAAAAGGTCAGTCAGGGCACGTACGGTTCCATCTGTGTCTTATCTCATCCTTGACTGCCTCAAGTCACCGGCTCACATCAAAGGTCACATTCCTGAGAGCCTCACCCAACGCAGGCTCAACAATTTTCCCCCAACATGTATGAATCTCCTTAAGCTGTATTCCAGCGCTGGATGGCTTAGAGAAAGGCCCTATTTCACCTTATTCCCTCCTCACACTTTGTGAAAAGTCTTTTTTAAGTAAAAAAAAGTGTATTCAAATTGACTGTTGCTGAGGACAAGTCTTGAGACTTTAGTTTGGTCACATGAAAAAGCTTAGTAAGGAACACTGTGGCGCTTATTTAGAATAATAATAATCTCAAATTTGATAAAATCCCAAAAAGGGTGTTGGAAAGGTGAAAGGCATGTAATATACAAGATGTGCATTATATACATTTACGAAAACAGATAAATGAGCACTTTCCGTTATGAAAAAGCATTTTAACACTTATTTGATTCAATATCCCTTTATTTGCCCGAAGAATAAAATAGATGGATTAAGGTCACTGATACATACGAGATGAATTACAGCTTTCTCATTCAGAAGCTGTAGTGCATCCTTCTTTTGGTCAGACTACTGGGATGTGTAAAATGAGATCATAGAGATGTGTGCATGAGATAGGAATAGCCAAAAAACAGTTGGGCAAAGAGGGAGACAAACAGAAAAAGGCTTGCTATGGCGAAAGCGGAAGATAAACAAATGTGGCAAGAAGGTCAAAGAGTGCTTAAGGCTGTATCAGATTAACAACATTATTAAATATGAATGATCAGTATGTATGAAAAGGGTTTTTGAATGTACATTCAAATTTGCTTTCTTCAGCAAAATCCTTGACAGCACGTGCAGCGGAATGATGCTGAATGCAACACACATCGTGAGGTGATGAATGAAAGACTATTAGAATGAGGAGAGAGGGTGGAGGAGGAGGAGGGGGGGAGCGATACTGGAGTGAGAGCCTGATAGAAACTAGTCGGGGATTTCCAGGCAAAGGGAAACGGGGAGGAGCGACAAGTAAAACAACTGGGCTGGAGCTTTTTGCCCCCCCACCCACCGCACACGCACACGCACGTGCTCCCCCAGCCTGCCTCATGGCGCACGTACGCTTGCAGCCAGACAGGCAGCAGGAGATCAATCGTGCTTTGGGACTAGTGTGTCCTTGAGTGTGTGAGAGAGAGTGTTAGCATCATGCTGCTTGCGGCGTATGTCACCCTAGAGGAGGTGCAATGTTAGCAGGAGTGGAGGGGGCTGTCCGTGCGTGTGCCCGTGCGCACCGCGGCTGGGATGCACATCGAGGGCTGGTGGTGCGCGAGCCAGCCGTCAAAGGGTGGAGGAGCCGCGGAGAGCAGCAGCAGCGCTGTCCGAGTGTGTGTGAGGGAGCGAGCGTGTGAGGGGGGAGGAGGAGAGGGGAGGAGAGGAGAGGAGAGGCAGACGCGGCGGTACTCCCAAGAGAAGGAGTGGGAGTCGGGGAGCAGACCCTGCCTCTCTCTCTCTCTCTCTCCCCCACAGGAGTACCCGGACCCAAGGACAAGGCAGGCCCTGCAACCCAGCTTGCAGCAGCTGGACCCGGGGTTGAGGGGGGGGGAGAGGACACACAGGGAGTCTCTCTTCCCTCGCTCCCAACTCGGGATGTGATTGACTGATCGGGGCTTCCTGACGGATCTGACTGACCCACTGTGTTTGGAAGGAGTGGACTCTCCTCTTCCCGTCGAACCCTGATTGTTAACTGTTGCCCGTGAGGCACTCGGACGTGTCAATGAATCCCCCCCCGGGCAGCATAGCAACCAGGGGGCGTCGTCACCCGGTTGCCGTCCCACGGACCACCATGTCAGTGACCACGGACTTCGGTTCCCAGCTGCCCGGAATCACGACAGTAACGTATGTGTTTGTTTTCAGCCCCGGCTCAGTGCAGAGAGACCCGAGCCCCCCTCACCACACGCCTCCGGCGCTGACGGGCCCCCGCGGGCCCAAACGGAAACTCTACAGCGCCGTCCCCGGGCGTACCTTCATTGTGGTCAAACCCTACACTCCACAAGGGGAGGGAGAGATCCAACTGAACCGCGGCGAGAGGGTCAAAGGTAGGTTGTCCTGCCCGTGTTCAACACCTTAAATCGCTGAAACTTCTACTTCCGGACTCCGCAGCTGTTGATATTCTGTATTTCATTCCCACTAGTTATTTTTAGGGTCTCCTGTAGAGTCCGTGGGTACGTTTGGCTCCCGTGACTTTCAGTGCCGGGTTAGTTGCAGAATAAAAAGAGACATTGCTCTGCTCGCTCACGTCGAAGAGATGCGAGCCGCACCATTTCTTCACAATGTTGTTTTGGCTGCAAAGCGGCGTCGTAATCATTCCGCGTGGAAGTCATTTCAGTGCTGTGAGCTTGGAAATGGGAGTTGTCATTTCATCCATTTGTAAATGTGCTTTCTTCCGCTTTACACAGAGATGCAGTGGCTTTGCTTTCACGTTTTTGTGTGTGTGCGCTTTTGTCTCTCCATCCATGCTTCACTCAAGACTATGACAGTAATGACGTAGAAGGTAAACTCCATAAAATTCTTCTCACACTGTATCCCCAACCCCCCCTCCCCACTCACAGGAGCGCTTCTCCTGCCTGCACACGTACTGAAGCATCCCGAGCCCTTCCTGCATCAACTGTGTTTAGTCTCCCAGCTTCTCTTACCCGAAGACGTGTTCTAATAGCTGTGCCCCTGTGTGCTTTGACGTCCCGTCTTTATAGTATTGGGAAAAACAAGTCCATTTACCCAGGAGTAACTAATACAGGTGATGAACAATTCGGACTCAGAAATTCCCGCTCATGTTTTTGCCAAATGATACGGCAATGTCTGAAACACAAATGTTATCGGAAATGTGATGACTCAACAGCAGCTAGTACGCCTCCGTCTGCTGAATTGATCTGCTGTCACTGTCTTTTCTGTCTGTGCAGCTGAATCCATAACGCTGTCACTAATGCGAAGACACAGTGTTTTGCTGTTCTTTCATGTTGGCCATGCAGGAAACAAGCTCACAGTCGCATGGCTGCCAGCCGCATGGCCCAGCCAAGTAAACCATCTGGCTGCGACACGCAACGCTCACCTTCACGACCATTCGCTGTGTTGCATTCACTTCGCTTGTGTAGAAATATTTCCCTGATGTCAACCGATTGTTGGACATCTTCACAGTTCGGGCTCCATATGTAAAGTTTTTTTTTTTACGGTATCCAAATGATGTCCACAGCATGTAATTCTAGCCGAGCACGAACAGTCCTCCTTTTGCACAGAGAGGCGAGCCACTTCCTCTGGGGATGGATGACCCTTGGTTTGATACATAATGCATTTTATCCAATCTGAATTCATAAATAGATGAGTTGCTAACAGTAATAGGGCCCATTTCTAATGGGGAAGAGGCGGCAAGGCAAGTGAAAGAGCGAGCGGATGATTAAAGAATACATTTATTTATCTTCCACTGTGTCCTCCTCCCGAATTAGGTGACGAGCAAATCAAAAACGTATGAAACGTAAGCACCTGAAATAAATGTCGTCGTAATTCTTTTTACCCTAAAACTCTAAGATTCTGCGTCTGCCTAAAATTATGTCGATAATTCAGTTACTGTTAGATAATTAGCCTCATATAACCCCCCCATAACACAGACAAACATCTCCTGAAAGGCCACTTACTATCACCATGGTAACTAACTAGGGAGCCATGCCACTGTAAACTAGTCAAGCTTTCTGCAATGGTGTAAAAAATATACACACAAACACTCGCTTAAGCATAACACACGGGAACACAAATACATAGTCAGAGCAACAGATGTGTGTCTCAACATGCTGTTTCCCCCACAGGGGGCATTAACTTCAGGGTGTACTTCTCCTTAAAAAGGTGACACATTTAAGAGCATGCTTTTGTATTGTATTACATCTCACGCGCACACACACACACCGACCACATACACCTACAATCCCCATTATAAATCTTGCGGACAGCCATGAAAATGAAACCAGCGCAAGTAACGTTGAAATTAGACATTCACCAACATGATTAATGGGGTTTAGCTGCACCTGGTGTGTGCAGAATATTAACAGCGCTATGAGCAGTGGAGGATTACTGGACCAGCTGTATGACGCAAACATACACGCATGTGCTAGCTTTTCATGTATTGTTCCAAGTCTGGCATCACAAAGGCTCAAAAATCAGCTGTTTCTGCTGCTCTAATGATCTCTGCCACCTTCTAGCTCGTTCTATAACGCAGGCATGCTGATAATGTGTCTCAGAAGTGCAAAGCTTTATTTGGAACAAAAGTCTGCAGATATGTTCTTCATGTGTACTTAATTAACTCAACAATAGGTGCACATCAATGCACATCAATGTACGTTGATGTGCATGTGTGTTTCGAGCAGAGCCAGTCGATAATACAGATATTTGATTTGTCCACAAAAGCTTGCTAATGTTATGACAAAAATTAATATTCATTTGTCTGTTACCAAGCAACAGGTGCTGAGTGCATAACAGCTCTGACATATAATTTTAAAGATAAAGATACATTTAAATTAAAATAATGAAATGAAATTGTCTTTTCAGTGAGTTAAAGAAAATGTTGTTCTAAGAAACCATGTTATCTTTTTATCTGCTACTTGCAAATTAGATTGGACAACAGCCTGTGTGCCAATTGTTGTATTTAGACTAAATATATTAGCTTCCCGCTGTGAGCTTTGGTTGAATAACCGGTAATTAGAATTCCTCTCGGTATACTGTGTTTGTATGTGTGGGTATTTTTGTGTATAAGCATCTCTCTATTGATGTTTTCATCATAAAGTGGGTATGTGAGGCATTCATGTCTGTAAATGTATTAGTGCATGTCTGCCTGTGTGCTTGCCTTTGTGTGTGTTTACGTTTGTGCCACACAGTTTAAGTAATTGCCCCCCCAGAAGTTAAATACACAGTATCCTTCAAGCATTCAGCAGCCAGCTGTCCTAATATCCGAGGCACACACACAGAAATGTGTCTTTCTCTGCCCGTGTTCTGTCTGTGAGCACATACACAATATATACATTTTGTATGCTGTGCTGAAACAGGTTTTGGGTCTACAGCAAATCAATCACTGAAATACTCTGATGAGTTCTTGCTGGTCAGTGTACAAGGTAATACGATTCATGCAACACGGTTGTTTCTATTTCTGTGACATCAGAGTGACATGTGAAATAAGTTAAGACATGGGATGATCGTAAGCAACTCTGTTCTATTTTGTTTCCTCTCGAGGGTTGATGAAGTAGGAGAGAAATAATGAAATATGGAATAAAAAGCAAGTGAGAAGGAAAGAAGAGGAGCGTTGTGTCGCCCTCAAGCCGAGGCGGGAGAGAGGGGAAGAGAAGAGAGGAGAGGAGGGATCCCTCTGAGTCATCCTTAGAGATTTCCTCCCTCCTCTTTTCCGTCTCCTCCTCCCACTGTAATTTACAACACTCCCACCTCCTCGTTTTTTTTTTCTTCGACTCGAGCCGTCTTCCTTTGACTTTGCTGTCATTCACAAAAAATAATTGTCATTGTTTCTATTCTTTTGTTATTTTTTTCTTAAAATTTAAACCATTATCCTTTCTCAGTCTCTTGCAACTTCTGTCTTTCTCTCTCTTTCATTCTCAGTCCTCTCTCTCTCTCTCTCTCTCTCTCTCTCTCTCTCTCTCTCTCTCTCTCTCCATCCCCCTATGACTCTCTATCAGTTCAATAATGATGAGGCGAAGACCAGTCCACTTCCTTCCCCTCTTCTAAGTAAAATACATCCAATGAGGATCAACATGCAGGAAACCACAGCAATCTGGGGTCGGGGGTCTACTCGCCCCGTCACTCATCACCCTTTTAATTGTTAGCCAACTCAACTTCTCAAATTTCAAGTCAACCTCCTTTTGATATGAAAATGAGATCTTTTCTTGTATCGTATAACTTGTTGACTATGTAAATTAAATCTCTATGATTCCATATGTTGTCCGTTCCCCCCCCCCCTTCCTCCCCCCCCCCAGAGCATTAGCGTGCATTCTCTCACTCATATATTACAGATAACAGTGACCGTCCCTTGCGCTACTGTACAGTCATCCCCCTTTCGCTTCCTTGCAGAGTACGTGTGCGGGCGCATGCCAGCGTGTCTCTGGTAGTGCCCCCCTTGTTTCATACAGATGCATCTCTGCTCCCTTTACCTATTATACTGAATTGAACTGCAGTGTAATAAAGAGTGGAGGGATCCAAATCTAATAACATCTCCACTCAGGTTATTGGAATGTTTTCCACTCTCACCTGCACACACTTCATGTGAAACAGGCACACAGACACACACACAGAAGGGAACGCTGAGATACTTACTTTTTATTCAGAAAAGCCTTTCTTTGAAAGAAAATATAATACTTAATGCCTATCATTGCATTACACTATATTTTTTGTAGAGCAGTTAAAAGGAACACTAATGATATTCAACAGTTAGAGAGACCGATGTAAGAGGCAGCACTCCACTACCGTACCCTTAAGTGACACATCTACTTTCACCCATCAGTTAGAAATTAACCAGTAGCACAATTGGATCAATTATCACTACAGCATCTTATTTTCACCCTTTAATATTGCTACATCACAATATTTCTATTTGATATGTGAATTATGATGTCAAAGACGCACAGGTTCCCTGTGTTTCTTATAGCGAGTCCAACGGGCAGAGAGCCCATCGTATGATTTTATGGAAATCAAGTTGTATTTTGGCTTTGGCAATTATTCCGTGGCATCCCTGTCTGAATCAGTTTGAGTACATCAGTGGCAGAAAGCCATCAGCCTCTATCAGCACAGCTGCATCTTTTTTTAGTCTGTTTCTGCAGGCTAATACGGGAGTTTGATGCATCCACTGTAACCTGTGAGAAATGCATTTAATTTGTGTTTCGACTGCTGCTTCCTTTACCAGCTGTCACTTGTATGAGTTCATTACACGCGTATGAGTACATTCATGTGTAAATCCGTGAGTTTGTTGCTTGGAAAAAGAGAAACAAAGAAAAGATGAGAATGACGAAGAAAATGAATGACTCGCCTCAAAGCCACTAACAGCCCTTTAATGTAATAATATAATCCTGGCTGTTGAAGTGAAATTTGGTTTACAGTGTTTGTTTCTCTGTGTGTTACTGCAGACTCTGCACAATTGAATGCTGAGAGCATTATCAATCATGTGTATTGTATTAAATATTGTGTGTCATGTGTTCCTCTCTTTACTAAGGATCAGTTAATCTGCTTCATTTCTGCATTTAGAGTGTTGGTGATGTGTTTAAAGGTGATTGAAGGGTACTTTATATGAATGTAAAATGTACTGAATGTGTGGAAGAGCAGCCTATGGTTTTGACGTTGCACATGGATGTTTTGGATCTGTGACTTCTGGTTGCATTTTTAGATACTCAGTGGTCGACTATTTCCGAGAAATCCCCTGGAAGCACAGTGATGCAGAGAAAGTGGAATAGACTAGAGAGCCAGACAGAGGGTGTAAAGGGTTTGAACATGGAATTAAAGAGACAGATGGAGGCTGTTCTCTGGAGACAGTCAGGGTGAAGTTGTGTTAAGCAGTGATCAGAGTGGGGGATCAGTCCTCGTATCCTCTGGGGGCTCAGTGTCATGTTTCAGCAGAAAGTCAAACATTATTTCTTTCTGCTCTTGCACTTCTCTCTTAGCAAATGGATGTTTAGGCAGGCGGAGACGAGCTATGAAGGGGTTAGCTTTGTGTACATCTGCATTACGGAATTAAAATGAAGGACACAATGAGCCAGCACACACATACAATCTGAAGAGAGCATGCATTGATTTTAACACCGTAAGGTATAGTCACCTTTTCTGGCCTGGTACTAAATATGTGTCTTTGATCTGCATGTAGAATTGTAATGGGGACGTAAGATGTGACGTCAATTCCTCAATTCCTCTTTGTCATTGTGCCCCAGTTTGCATCACCGTGACATGTCGCCATGCCAGAGAAGAATATATTGTTTGGAGGAAGTAGACTATATCATTTAGCAGGTTGTCTGCTGCATCATACTGCCGTAACCTAGCAACCAGTTTAGGAGAAGGACACGCTCAGGAAAAACTTCAGTTCCAGCTAGTGATCTCTGAGGAGTATGTGTGTGTGTGTGTGTGTGTGTGTGTGTCGGTCAGCTTCCTCGGATAATGGATGAGTGTTGTAGAAATGAGCCTCCTGGCTCAATCCTGCAGGGAAGATCAATATCAACTATATATTCACCTCTAATTACCAGAGCGGAAATAATCTCATTCATTTTCTTCCCCGCCTTCTTGCTTTCCTTCAACATTGCTTGTTCCTCATTTTATTTCTTTATTTGTCTCACTTTTGTCTTTCCTCGCCACTGCTTCATTTGCTGCATCTTGTCCTTTTTTTCCTCTTTATTTTGTAATTTAAAAATAATTTATTGGCATGAAAGAGAAAAAAAGTTGTCACATACCTTTCCACATTTCTCTGGCTTGTGTATTTTTTTAATGTCTTGTTTTATCAGGCTCTACAGGCTGCACAATGATACAATGATAACAACTGGACATGATTAATGACAATATTTGACAGACTCTTCTGTGTCTTCTCTTTTCAGTTCTGAGTATAGGGGAAGGTGGCTTCTGGGAAGGCACGGTCAAAGGGAGGACAGGCTGGTTTCCAGCAGACTATGTGGAAGAAGTTCAGATGAGGCAGTATGACCCCCGGCTAGGTAAGATGTCCACAAGCAGGCAAACACACACATTCAACCCAATGCCACACTGCGATGTGTTTTCATCCTGCTGCAGCGAGTTGCTCTGTCCGTGGTGCTGAAAAGCAAAGTAAATCCTTATGCAACATCCGCTAATTTGTCTTATTTGTGATCAGACAAACAAATAAGATGGCATTCAAAGTATTTTACATTAATATTTATGTCTCAATTGTTTCAGTTTGTTATTACCCATACCCATATCTATAAAATGAAGAATTCTTTTAGCAACAAAAGACGCATACGGTGTTATGGTGTTGTACGTGTGCGTAGCCACACCCGTGTGCATGAACACGTAACACAACCGTGGTCTGAGCCCGCAGGCCTGAGGGGCTCCAGTGCCTTGGATGTGTTTCTCAGGTCCAAGAGCAGGTGATGGTGTTGATCTATTCGACCTGTATGCAAATCAAATTCTAAAAAGTGCTGACTAGTTTCCTTTTTCTAGGGAAATGCAAGAGCAAACAGTAAATTGTTGCGTTATACCAACAACTTATATCGTACTGACATATATTGTCTTCATTTAAAAAACAAAAATTATAATTACAGAGCTTTCAAGTTTCTTAGTAGTGTTTTTAGCATCATAAAAGGTAAGATTTTGCGATTCAAAATGTGTGGCATAATACAGAATCAGGTGTGAAAAGGAGTATCTCATACAACAGCGCACACCTACGCACACAAGGAACAGTTTAAAACAGCAAAAGAGTCTTCTCGTTTATATTTAACCTTGTTTAACTGATTAATCCATGGTTAGAAACAAAATAGCATTCTTAAATCCACCTGCAGTGTTCCATCAAAACAGGCTCTCTCAATTATTGATGGAATAGTTTCAATCTGTCAACACTTCTGTTTAACACTTTTTAATCAAATTTTTGGAAATATATGCTCACCGTCATGTCAAATCTGTCATCCATCCTAATCTGATAGATTTGAATAGAATTCTTTGTAAAAAAAACAAACTGCAGGCACATCAGATGAATGTTACCATTTCCCATTCAGTCATTTAATTAGCAGATGGCACATTTCGGTCGCTGTCGTTTCAGTGGTAACAACATGTGCAGCATCGTAAAAAAACATCTGGTGACTGTTTGAAGAGAGTTGGTACAGCAAGTACAAATAATGGAAATGGGCCAAGGAAAAGTTTAAATATATCTCCCAATATCTAGTTTTTTTATTATGCATCTACTGGGGTCTAGTTTTGAAGCACTTGAAGGGGTATTTTCCCTTTTTCAAAGGCTCATCTAGGGTTTTTGTTGTTACCTTTAGAGTATGTGTGAGGAGATGAAAAGAATCTCTAAATACCCCATTTAAATGCATCGTGAGGAAAAAATAGGGGGGAGGTAGGTAAGAATGGGCTGGATGGCGATTGAGACGGATGGCGGGGCACATTCTAAAAGACAGCAAAGCGTGAATGGCAGAGCGTGTTGTTGCAAGGAGAAAAAGAACAAGGAAAGGACGGGAGGGGGACAAACCCCACTCATTCATAAACCCTTAAACCCCCCATGCTGCATATTACTCATGGATTCAAATCGTCTTGGGCCTCCCCTGTCTCCATAGATAACTCTATGCATTTTGTTGTTCTCTTTGATGTTAAACAGCGGAGTTTTTCTTACTGTAAATTCAAAAGGCCAGTGGTTCTCCATCAAAAACACTAATCACATTTACACAAGGGGTCCCTTCGTTGATTGAATGCTTTGCATCGCTGTTTTGCTAAAATCTCCATTTCAAAATTCACTACTGAACTCCCTCCACATATGCTGTTTCTCAAAACTTTACTTCACTGACACTATGAACCTCCAGAATCTCCAGAAACTGTGCTGGGTATCTTTGGTATTGTGGCCACAAGCAGCACATGGTGCCTACTGGTCCTATAGACCTCTTCCCCACACACCTTCACGTCACAGCAACACATTTTTCACAACGCTAGAAGGCCTAGAAGGTATTTATAGTCAGACTGTTTTCCATTCAGCCCAAGGTCTAGAAGAGTTACTTGCGGAGAAAGGGAATTAGATTACAATTGTGTGTAATGATCAAAATTAAAGTATATAATGCGGCCTACTACCACCTCAAAAATGTAGCACGACTTAGAGGGCTCATGTCAGCTCAAGACTTAGAAACACTTGTACATGCCTTTATAACCAGTAGGCTAGACTATTGTAATGGTCTCCTTGCAGGTCTCCCAAAAAAAACTGTGTTCTGAACACAAGCTCCAGCTTGTTCAGAACGCTGCTGCTAGAGTTCTAACAAAGACCAAAAAATGTGAGCACATTACACCAATTCTTAAATCCGTACATTGGCTCCCAGTATGTCAGAGAATTAATTTCAAAATCCTACTGCTCACATATAAATCACTACATGGTTTAGGGCCAAAGTATATCACTGATATGCTTCCACTACATAAGCCTTCAAGATCACTAAGATCTTCTGACACCAATCTGTTAGTGATTCCCAGAGTAAATACAAATCATGGGAAAGCATCATTTAGTTACTACGCAACAAACTGCTGGAATGAACTTCCTGAAGATTTAAGACTTGCCCCAACTCTGACACGTTTAAAACAAGACTGAAAACTTTTATGTTCAGCTTCGCCTTCTGCTAAATTTCACCTACATTGCACTTTAACCTCTGCCTTTAATTAAACAATTTAAATAAGATTTTAATTTATAATTTTATTTGCTGTTTTTAATTGTCTTTTAATTCCTGCATTTTATTTCACTTCATTGTATGAAATGTTATGATGTGAAGCACTTTGAGTCTGCCTTGTGTATGAAAAGTGCTATACAAATAAAATTGCCTTGCCTTGCCTTAATTTAATAACATGCTAATTTCTGAGTTACTGAGGCATTTCAGATTAAGTCTTAACATTGTCACTAGATTTATAAACAGCGATGCGACTTCAGAATAGCACACAATTGGGTAGACTAAAACACACACACACACACAGATTTTTTTTTTTTATCTGAAGGCAATGCAACCATTGAGGTGTCACTGACAGTTAGGGCACTATGTTTCAGCCCAGTGAAGCAGGAAAGACAGCGCTGCCTACAATTAAGTAACCCTCATACTACCTCTCTCTTTTTCTCATTCTCCCTCTTCCTCTCTCTGCCACTGTACATCACCCATGAGCCACGACTAAAGGGGCTGTATTTCTTCATCCATCTCTGCTTCTGTCTCTTTTCACTCCTCTCTGCCAAGTTTAAAAGAGATGGAGATGGGGGCGGGTGGTGGACACAAAAAAAAAAATGAGATGATGGAAAAAGCTTTTTTTAATTTGGGAGAGCGAGAGAGAGTATGGGAAGCTGGCAAGAGAGACGGACACCAAAGCAGATCGAAAGAGAAAGGAAGCAGATGACCATGTGGGAGAGGTACAATTTAAAGCGTCGCTGGCTCGTATCTGTCACCGCGCTGCTCTGCTCTCTCTCTCTCTCTCCCAGCAAGGCCACGGCCACCTGCAGTCAACAGTTCACCTGCAACCGGTGATGGGAGGCACGCAGGCAGGGAAGAAAAAGTCAAAGGCTAGAAGTAAAAGGGAAAAATAATAAAAGGGGACAGCGAGAGCTACCGGCGTGGAAAATGAGGGCGAAAAGCTATTGAATTGAATTCATTAAGAGTGAAATGAGTGATGCGGCGGTGAAACGCTGCTGGCTGTGGAATAATAGCTGATCTGTGTTTGTGTTGCATAGGTGTGTAATTATAAATCATGCAGAAAACCCGATCCCTCCAGCACACACACACACACACACACACAGGCTGCTGCCCTGTATGTGGGGGTTAATTGTTTACCCGTGGTAATGGAGGGAGTAACGATGTGAGTGTAAACTGCTCTTTCTTATTCTAATGATACCACCAAATTGCTGGGGGACCACTAATTTCCAACAATAGAACTGCTAATCAGATGGCTTCAATCTGTTGGGATCTTAACTGCCCTCAAGCCAAGGAACACCCCCCTGTCCTGCGTCCCAAAAAGTGGGCCGTCTACAGCCAAATAAAGAGACAAATTCAGCAGCAATGCTATTTCACCAGCCCCAGTTTCCATCATTCATTTTTCTCAGGCCGCCCTGCAGCATCAAATGTCTTTAAGGACCTCTACCCACACGTACTCATAATGCATAACAATGCACATGATGGGATAAGCATTGCTTGGTTTTCTCAATGGTTTGATCTCTTAACAAGGGTGAAAACTTTTATTCTATTCCTGTTTCTGCTTCTTTTCTCCTTTCTTCTCATTCACTGTATTCCCTTGCTTTTTCACACAGCGGCACAGTTGAATGACTCACAGCCGCATGAATCTGCTCAGTCATATCCAGCCTGAGCTATTTTTAGCCTGCCCATTAAGAAGTTTTGGAGTGTGTCTGCACTCCCCTAGAATGCTTAAACATCAGCGTTGCTGCGGCAGCTCGGACTGACGTGAGCAGAGCTAGTAGGAGGGTACGGTAGAAGAGAAAGGGGGGAGGGGGGGCAGATTTGTTAGGGATCACACTGGGAAGTCTTTGAAACTGTTTGACAATATTTGACAATATTTGAATGAGAGTTTTAGTTGTTTATTTTTTTGAACATTTATCTGCACATTGTCCCCTTAAAGAAACATGTCAACGGCTGTGTTTTAATGATAAAATTACAAATACAATTTCAGCCTATTGTATGATACTAATAAATTAGGATCAGTCAGAAACGTTCCTGTCATCATTTGTTATGTAGATAAAATCACAAATGCAGGTAACTTTGTTTTGTAATCGCTACTTTCCGAGCAGCTTCCTAATTCGAACCCCATTCTGTTTACAGGCAAAAGCACAATCCCAAAGGTACATGTGCCAACATACTACACAATTTAAACAAACAAGACTTGATGAAATAAAAATGTGATATTAACGCATTATTGATTTATGAGGCATGTCTGTCAGAGGAACTGACTTTTATCAAACGGGATACATAAAAAAAGTAAAAGGAGTCTATCAGAATGTAGCTGG